AGCAGGGGCCGCGCCAGCCGCCGGAGGGCGTGACGCGAGGGAAGCGCGGGCGCGGGGGGCGGACGGGCGGCCGCGTCTCGCCGGCGTGCCGGGTCCTCTGGTTTGATTGCGGGCACAGAGGCTTCTAAGGAGTGGGCTGGGGCTGGATCCGCACAAGGGGCGGTTGGAGGGTCTGAAATCTTCACAACAAGGGGTTTGAACTCCCCAGGTCCGGGTGTCTGGCCACTGGTTGAAAACGAGTCCACCTTCTGTGGGTGGGTCAGCCTGAATGCCCATCGGCGCGCCACTGGCATCACAACGCCGCCCCTCCACACCCTGCCGCCCCGCGCGCCCCACCCCAGAGCGCCGACAGCGCCGACGACGCGGACGGCGGCATCGACCCGCAGTGGCTCGTCCCTGAGCGCGTCATCGAGAGGTGCGGGGGGCGCGGCGATGACGCCCCATCTCCCGCCCCGCGCCGCGCGGCCGCGTTGCCCCCGCAGCCCCCTTCCCCCCAGGCGGACCGCCCCAGCTGCCCCTGCTCCGCGCGTTGGGCGGGTCCTGCACTGCGCCCCCAGCCTCATGCGCTGCTGAATGAAGGGGCGCAGGGGTGACTTCACCCCTGCGCCCCCTCATCTCCTATCCCTCAACCTGATCTCCCTCCACCCCTGTGCCCGTGTGCGTGCCTCGGTCGCTCTTGTATGTGCAGCCGCGTGGTGAGGGGCCGCGAGCAGCTGCGGGTCAAGTGGACCGGCCTGGAGTACTCCGAGTCCACCTGGGAGGAGGAGGACCAGGTGGCAGGCGACGCCGCAGGCAGGGTGAGCGCCCGCGGGGTTGGGTTTGATGATTCGGAAGCACACCTTACCGTGACCTTGGTTGTAATGCAGGCCAGGTTGATTTCCAATGCGGACTCCGGTGGCGGGGGCGGGGGCACTGCTGCGCGTTCAAAGTGGTCGACGCCGGCCGGGCGGCGTGCGTGCGGCAACGCATTTTGCAGGCCCGGGTTGTCGTGAAGGCGACTCAAGGGGGCGTGTTTTGGATTGACTGTCTTCAAACCTGCCATGCGTTCCTCGCAGGTCGCCCTGGCGCGCTTCCGCCGCTTCAGCGTGCGACCCGACTGCGGCCCGCCCAAGCCGAAGCGCCCCAGCAAGGGGGACGTCGACGCGCGCCGCCTGCCCGCCTTCCGCAACGGCAGGAAGCTGCGCAACTACCAGGTGGGGGGGGGGGCGGGGAGCTCGTGGTTCGTGCCCAGGGGGCGCGTCCGTGGCGCTTGACCGCGCCGGCTCCAGCTGCTGCGTCGGCCCACTGGTCGCGCCAGGAAGCGCTGTCTGCCCGTGCTACAGTCGAGCTCGTACCCCTTTGGCCGACCGCCACCACTTCCTCACCACACACATGTTCTCTCCTCTCTTTCTCAATCGCACACAAGATCTGCACACACACACATTCACACATCACACACACGAGACACACACACACACACACACACACACACACACACACACATCACGCACACAAGACACACACACATCACGCACACGAGACACACACACATCACACACAAGACACACACACACATCACACACACACACACCAGGAGGAGAGCCTCCACTGGATGGTGTCCAACTACCGCGGGGACTTCAACGGCGCAACATGGGAGCCCCGCAACTGCCTGCTCGGGGACGAGGTGCGCTGACAAGGACCGCCGCGGCGCCGCCCCGCTCCTGCGCGCGCAGGCACACTCTCCAGACCTGCTTGTTGTGGGTGACGGTCGTCGTTTGCAGCCACGTGTGCTGTGCTGCTGCCCTTGCTGGATGTCGCTGACACGCAGCTGTGGCCACCCAACCTCAGATGGGCCTGGGCAAGACGGCGCAGTCCATCTCGGTGATGGCCTGGCTGAGGCAGTTCGGCAAGGTGGGCTGTCGAGGGGGTGTGGGGATACCCGCATGTGTGTGCGTGTTGGTGTGTGAGTGTGTGTGTGCGTTTGTGTGTGTGCACGTGCCCGCGTCTGTGCTGGGAGTGCGCATGCGAGTCGTACAACAATCATGTTCTCCCTCCGTCGGTCTTGAGGCAACCTCCAGCTTTTTCGCTCTTACAACAGACTTTCTCTAACTCTGCGTTGCGCCGCGCCAACTCTGGAACCCGCTTGTCCCCGCAGGTGCAGTGGCCGTTCCTGGTGGTGGCGCCGCTGACGACGCTGGGCCACTGGCAGAGGGAGATCGAGACCTGGACAGACATGGTGCGGTGGGGGGGGGGTGGGGGGGGGCAGAGCGCATGCGTGCTGCCAATTTTATCGCTTCACGAGCGTGCTGCCAACTTTATCGCTTGTGCAGCGGTCGAGTGGAGAGGCCTCGTTCAAACCTGGCGCCGCCACCTGGAGCTCTGTTTGGGCCCGCTCCGCCTCCTGCTCAGCACAGCCCAACCCCAATCCCTCAATCTGGTCACCCCGGATCACTTGCCTCCCCTCTCAACACACACACACACACACACACACGCACGCACACGCACATGTGACAGAACACCGTGGTGTATGCAGGGGCGCGCGCCGACCGCGACATCATCCGGGCCACAGAGTTTTGGCACAGGGGAGGCAGCAGCGGCAGGGGTGACCCCAAGTGAGTCACCCCACGCATGTTTGCGTGCAGTCGCCATGCTTACGAGCTCCTCAACTGCTTTGGAGGGCGCATTGCTGCTGTGTCCCTGCAGCTCCTCCTTGTGTGCTTGTTCGGTGTGATCTCAAGACCCGCCCCCTCGCCTTCCGCCCTCCCAGGCCCGACTTTGGCCCCAAGTTCCATGTTTTGCTGACGTCATACGAGACGGTCCTGAAAGACACAGCCGCCTTCAGGGGCTTCAAGTTTGAGGTGCGGGGATGATGCCCAGTGAGACACTGCGAAAGTGTGAACGTCTACGTGTGAGTGTGTTTGTATGAGCATATGTGTGGTGTGTGTGTGGGAAGGAGGTGTATATGTGGGAGGGCGGCGGCTGGTTGCGGCCGTGACGGAGGCGGGCGTGCCGCGTGCACCGTTCAGTGCGATGAAACAGGCGTTGACGGGCGTTCCTCCCCCCGGCCTTGAGCCCGCCCCTGAGCGACCCATCCGACCCCCTTTCCCACCTCCCACAACACCACATTGCAACGCACTCACCCCACGTTCGCCCCCACGCGCGCGCGCACACCAAAACGCGCACACTCGCAACACAAACGCACGCCACTCCCTCTGCCTCGACAAAACTCAAGGCATCTCTCACACATCCGCACACCACTCCCCCGCCCTCCCCCCGGCCCCCACCTTTTTTCCCAGGCCGCCATCCTTGACGAGGCCCACCGCCTCAAGTCCCGCAGCAGCGCCACGCGGCTGGCCCTGGAGGACCTCAACATCCACTGGCTGCTGCTGCTCAGCGGGACGCCGGTGCAGAACAACATGAAGGAGCTGCAGGTGTGAGTGTGTGTGTTTCTGTGTGTGTTTTGTGTGTGTGTGTGTATTTGTGCGTGTGTTGCGTGCAGGGGTGGTTGTGGTGTGCGTGCAGAACAACGTGAAGGAGCTGCAGGTGGGGGGGTCTGAGGGGGGGGATGTGGCGGTTGCGGCGGTTGTGAGGGCGGTTGTGGTGCGTTCAGGGGTGGTTGTGGTGTGTCGGGACGCCGGTGCGGAA